AGATAGATAGATAGATAGATAGATAGATAGATAGATAGATAGATAGATAGATAGATAGATGGATAGATGTTGACTCAGCCTTCCATCCTTCCAAGGTGGGTAAAATGAGGACCCAGGCTGTTGGGGGCAAGATGCCAACTCTCTAAACAGCTCAGAGAGAGCTGAAAAACACTTTGAAGAGGCATATAAGTCGCTTATAAGCTTTGCAACAGAAACTTTCGACTCCCTTGTAGTCCTAAATTCAGGACCACCTGTCAATTATTCCGTTCCTTTCCTTTTTGTAGGATTACTATGGAATCACATTCCCTGCTCCTGCGAACCTGACCAGCAGAGACGGAGCCCTTGCTAACAACCCTTACTCAGGTGAGGCAAAACTCAGGTATGGCTGTGGGCTTCCTATGTCCAGACGAGGCTGTAGGTTGATGGATTGTTGCATTGTGATGGCTACCCCAGTGGGGAGTCCGTCGGTTCCTACGCCTTTTCTGTGGGCCCCCGAGAAGGCCAAAAATCCAGGCCCGCCTGGATGTCATCCCCAGGACTCCTGCTCACCTGGGTGAACACGAGGTTATCCATCATCATCTCGACTATCATAAGTCCCCTTGTGGTCGTCTTCTTTTGTTTTAATATCATTTTTATTCAGCATTTTTTAAACATTAAAACCACAATTATACTTTTTACAGCGTTCCGTTATCGGTATTCTTTTTTCCTAATTTCAGGTTTTCCATTCTACGACCTGTTGCTTTACACATATATCTCCGTGTTTCATGATTACTCATTTTTACAATATAATACAATATTGACATCTCTATGACCTTCTGAATATATACAATCTCCTTTTGTTATATTTCCTATGTCTTCGGTATGCGTTGATTTTACATCTCTTTTCAAGCCAATTGTACCACCTGTTCCATGTCTATTTCCCCTTTATCTCTTAGTTCCATCATTAATTTGTCCATTTCCACGCATTCTAGCACCTTTTTTTTTATAATCTCTGCATTTGAGGGAATGACTTTTTGTTTCCAATTTTGGGAAGATGTTTTGCTTCTCATCCAAGCAGCTTCTTCAGTTCTGACTGGATGGTGGGAAGGATTTATACTCCTTGCAGACAGCTGGTCATTTGCATCCTTTGAGAGGGTCCTTGAGGCCACTTGGAGGTTTATCTGTGTCCTCAGGGTCACCTGAGTGCTGCAAATGGTTCCNACCTGGGCAAATGCCCCCCTGGTCACAGCTGACAAAGAGAGTCCTGCGCTGGCCCTTTTTTGCTATTTTAACCCCTGCCAGGTCTTAATTTCATTTTAACCGTTTTATGTTGTCTTTCCAAATTGTTGTTAGTTTACCGAAATATAAAGGGAAATAAAAACACTCAGAAACCAGAGGAAGGAAAAAGGGAATGTTAAAAGAGTGGAAAAGTGGAGGCTGTAAGTTTGTTTTTATTCCACTGTGTTAAAAAGAGTTGGAATCCAATGCTAGTTTTCCCTTATTTTTTTAAATTTTCTTTTGTCTTTTATATTTTTTATTTCCCCCCTTAATTCGATGTTTTCTTTTAAAAATAAATTGTGAACGCTGCTACCCGTCGCGCCATTGTTTTATTAAATACTTGGCAGCGTTCATTCCTGGGCATTGCCCTGGATTCTTTCTTCTTTTTTTTTTCCTTTTTCCTTTTTTTCCTTTTTTTCCTTTTTGGGAAATTCCAACTTTGGAATTAAGAAAATGAGATACTGAAAACAAAAGAGACTCGAAAATGAAAGCGGGGAGGGCGGGGGAAAAAAGACTGTTCCAAATATGGGCAAGGAAGTAAATGACTCAATCTCTCCTTGGGATGTTTTCATTGCAGCCACAACTGTGAATGTGATGCAAGGAAGATTTGTGCAAATAGCAAGGCCTGCTTCTTAACTTGCGTGCTCTTCCCAAGAATGCAAAAACGAAGCAGGAGGAAAAAGGCAGCCTGCCAAGAATTAAATAGGAAATGCTCCTGGCCGCGATTCTCTAAATCGGGGGTGTCCAAACTTGGGAACTTTAAGACTTGTGGACTTCAACTCCCAGAATTCCACAGCCAGCCATGCTTGAAGTCCACAAGTCTTAAAGTTCCCAAGTTTGGACACCTCTGCTCTAAATATTACTGAATTACTTAGCCTCATCCTGCTGTGCTTCCTACAATGACCCCCCCAAATGATAATTTGACCCTGTTCTTCAGAGTAGGCAAGACAAGAAACCACAAATGGAAACTATTCAAAGTGAGACGCGACCTGGAACAAAGGAGATATTTCTTGAGAGTGAGGATAATTAACCAGTGGAACGACTTGCCACCAGAGGTTGTGGGTGCTCCATCACTGGAGGTTTTTAAGAAGAGACAGTCCATTTGTCTGGAATGGTCCAGGGCCGTGGTGGTGAATCTATGGCATGTGTAGGCACAGGTGGCACACAGAGCCCTCTCTGCGGGCACGCCCACCGTCGCCCAGGTCAGATCTCCCTGGCGTTTCTTTTGTGAGCTTCTCTCTCCCTGCAAATGACGGAACAGAGGCTCACGAAAGAAAGAAAAATCTTCCTGCTACACTGCTGGTGTTGGGATGCCCCCATCAGCCAGCTGGTCTTCGGATCTCTGCTGCGCATGCATGCATGTCCGTGTGCATGTCCGCGCATGTGTGCATGTCCGCGCATCCATGCATTCACACATGTGCACCCACCTTTCAGTTTGGGCACTCGGTGTTTAAAAGGTTCGCCATCACTGGCATGGGGGTCTCCTGCTTGAGCAAGGGGTTGGACTCGATGACCTCCAAGGTTCCTTCCCAAGGAGCCGAGGTGGCACAGTGGTTAGGGTGCAGTACTGCAGGCCACTTCAGCTGTTATCTGCAGTTCAGCGGTTCAAATCTCACCAGGCCCAAGGTTGACTCAGCCTCCCATCCTTCCGAGGTGGGTGAAATGAGGACCCAGACTGTGGGGGCGATATGCCGACTCTGTAAACCGCTTAGAGAGGGCTGAAAGCCCTATGAAGCGGTATATAAGTCTAACTGCTATTGCTATTGCTAACTCTGATATTCTGTTATTTAATGGAGGGAAGCTTCTCAGAGGAATTGTCAACCTAAAACAGGGGTCGGCAACCTTAAACACTCAAAGAGCCATTTGGACCCGTTTCCCACAGAAAAGGAAACACCGGAGCCACAGAAACTCCTTCCCGTGCCTATTTCCTGAGCGCCCACAAAACTA